TTTTTTTTTTAAGTTGATCCTTTAAGAAATTAAAGTAAAAGACCTGATGGGGGACCAGGGAGGAGAAGTGCACACTGGGAGCGAGGGGCCAAATGAATGATTGAATGAATAACAGAATGAGTGGGTGCATAAATGAATAATAAATAGATGCGAGGGTTAAAGTATCAGTGAATTAACAGGTGAAAGAGTCATTGAATCGAATGAATAAAAGCAATAAAAGAATGAATTAGTGAGAGTGGGAAAAGGAGTTTAATGCTTTGGAGAGAAATAAGCCAGAATGGAAGATTCTGTGTTAGCAACGACACTGCGGTGTCAAAGGGATAATTAAATGGCCGTGACTGAATGTGGATTATTAAACGAGGAAGTAAATTAGGAGTGAATAGGTGAAAAACAGAATAACGAGGGTAGGAGTGAGCCAGCAGTTCCTCAGCAGCTCAGTCTGCATGGTGTATTTTCCACATGGGAGAAAATGAAAGGGTCAGAGTTCTTGTACTGGCTGCTTTTTTTTTATTTAAACATGTTGGTGCGATAAGCAGCCGATACACACGAGGGAAGTAAAGTAGGTAGGAGAGCAAAGGGCAGCACTCATCCCTCCTTTCCCCTGTTATTTCACCGCTTTTCTCCATCTTTCATCTTTAATCTCTGGAGAGAAAGAAACTCTGAATCCTCTGTTCCTCATTGTCTTTCTCATTTCTGTGAAGTGTTGACTTGACACAAAAGCCTTTTCTGTAAAATGCAAACTCTCCCGTCTTCCTCTCGCTCCCTTTTTTCCCCTCTCCCCGTCTATCCCTCTCTTCCTGTGTCTTGCTCCCTATGGACAGGGGGGGGGAGTTGTTGAATTGGATTTGCCCAGTGTGGTTTGCCTGGGCCCCATAAGCCACTTTAGCTAAGTCTGTTACCCACAGTTCTCTGCCTTTCTCTCGCTCTCCCCTTCTTTCTGTGATCTGACCGAGGCGTGCATCTGTACCACTCCGTGCACCTGTAAATGTGTGAGCGCGCACACACCTGGGTGTGTTTGCGTTAGTGGGAGCAAAGACGGGAGTGTCGAAAGTCTAAGACGAGGTGAGCGAGGTTCAGTGGAGAAGGAGCGAGAGAGTGGTCCTAAACAGCAGACGCTTGCAGACAGTGGCTCTACAGTGGATCTAAACCAAGGGCTTATGGGTTTTTTGTCAGCTCGACTCTTAAACGCTACAGTGTTGAGACCGCTGGCCTCAGCTGAGCGGGGCCACAGACACATCACTGCAGTCGCACACCTTTTAAATTGGTCGCTGGATTAAACTTGTCATCTGAGCTTGATAATGTTTTCTTTATATTTGTAATGTTGTACTTTATTAAATACATCTTTTAAGTGCAGTAAATGGTTCCAGCCTTGGAGAAACCGACGGGTTGGGCTACTTTCATGATTGCTATCTATTAAAGAAATCTGGCTTGAGTTTTAGTGCCTTTAAGTCCCTGGAATCTCC